ATACTGAAAATGATCACGCGATGACCAGGGATCTGTTTCCAGGACTTTCAGCCGAAGAGCGGGCTGAATGGGAGTATTGGCGTGACCATGGCCGTCATGTCACCGCGTATTATACGAAGCGGTGGGACAATAATTGCTTACTTGCAGTTAATTGTACTACCCGTACCGATAATTAGACGACTACATGTAAATTTCAAACGCTCGACGTATTGAGCTGATTTAGTGCAGTTTAGCAAGCAATAAGGAAAGGTAGTCAGCTAACATACATGCATTTCATATAATACTACTACGTAGTATCATTATACTTTGGCCCGAGCACTTGGAATAAAATAATATCATTGTCGTCGCTTCCTTAGTGAATTTTGCTAGAAATCGTGCCCGATAGTTGTTTGGTATCGCCAAATCTCTTTTAAAAAACGATAGATGTATTGAAAAATTCCTCAAGTTTCGTTCAAGAGCTCCGATTACATTTTTATTTCCAATAGGTTAGCTGCATCATTCTTTATTGTACGGATACGGCCCATAATATCAGTTTTATGGTGTCAAATATATTGAGTTGTAATATTTTTTCCGACCATGGATTGTAAAAATGCCATCCCGAATAAAAGACCTCTTCTAAATATTTCTATTTAAATAAAAAAAACTAAATTAAAATACAAGCGGTTTGAAAACTATGCATTTGGTGCAGTATCATATAGAACAACTCTTTACGTGTTGACGTGTGCGACGGATTTTAATAGGGCGCTACGTGTTGACGGAGTTTTAGAAAGTTTTCGAAGGTACTTTGAAGGAAACACAACCAAGATATCTAAGACAACGCTGTTTGAGAACAACTAGCCCAAGATGCCCACCAGACAACGTTTCTATTAGGCGTAGCCTACAGAATCTGCAGGGCTCTTTAGTTTATTCAACATAAATAGAGGATCTCGGAACAATCAGGAAACACAACAAGAGACACTTGATTACAGCACAAGTGCGGCTGTGAGAGGCTCTGTCAAATTTCAGTACGTGTTCTGTAAGGCCCTGGTCGAAGTAAAAATACTGAAATTCATTCTGAGAAATAGCGTGTACTGATGGGCTAAAATTGAGTTGCCACTCGGAACGATTTTCAGTTTTTTTTACCGTTCTCAATAGAAACCTCAGAACGCCTGGCAGAGGTGTTCTGAAGTCAGAACAAATTGCAGTCTATACCGGCACTGATCAATCTTCATCACACTCCATTTCGCGTATTACTGTAAAACCAACGAAGTAGCCATGGTGACCAAGGCCAAGTAGCAGTTTTATGCGTCATACAGTGCATGTGGGCGACCTTTGCTGCCCTCTCCAGTGATCGTCGTCGATTTGGTGGCTATACTCGAAAAAATGTGAACACTTTCGCGTCGAATGCGTTTGACAAAGCTGTAGCAAGTCGAAGAACTAAATGGTTTCACAGGAAGATGCGTTGTGATAGACGGACATTCTTTGCCATTGTCACGATAGTCCAGAGCCAGTGGATTGGCAAGATCCATCACAGCACCAAGCACAACCTAACGAAACGAGTTACTGTGACGATGGTGTATTTGGCCAGTGGAGGCTCCATGGACAACGCGGCGACAGTACTTGGGATGTCGAAGTCAAGCGCTGTGGTATACATTAATCAAGTTCTTTCGGTTCTGTCTAAAATGGCTAAACAAAAAATTACACTGCCATCGACTTCTGCAGAGATTAAGCGGGTTAGTCTCGGGTTTGAGAAAATCGCTGGTTTTCCTGACGTTATTGGGGCAATTGACGGGTCACTGATCCGAATCAGTAGGCCTGCGGAGCATGAAGGATGGTACTGTCGGAAAAACTTTCCTGCGGTTAATATGCAAGCCGTCGTTGATCATCAAACGGCATTCCGCTCTTTTTCTATACGTGCTGGGTCAATGAACGATCAGTCTCTTTGGAATTTGTCTGGTCTTCGCAACAAATCAACAATTCCTGCGGGAATGCATTTTGTAGGTGATGCAGGGTACAAGATCTTTCGTCATTTGCTTACGCCTTTTGATGAGGCTGCTGCAGCTCATTGCCCTAAAAAGAAACTCTATAACTACAAGCTCTCTCAGACTCGAATCACTGTGGAGCGCGCGTTTGGCATTCTCAAGAACCGGTTTAGAGTCCTCCTGATGAAAGTCCAAATGAAGAGTTCACAAAAAGTGACACAATTAATTGTGAGTTGCATGGTACTGCATAACTTGATGATAGAGCTGAAAGATACTTACATTGTAGTCGGAGATGACCCGGATCCAGCCCGTCCTCGTCAACTTTCCACTCTTGCAGATGAAGACGATTTAAGCCACGAGCAAGGGGTTGCCAAGCAGTCAGACATAATGGATTACCTCTTTAGATTGTAACTCTGAATTGGTATACTGAATATTCACTTGAAGAGGTACAACTTCAACTTCCCTCTTAACCAAATTTGTTAAGAAGCAGCTCCAGTAACGTGAGTTGTTTCGCCTGCAACTGCTGGGTTGCAAGTTGAGCGTTCTTCATCTCCTGTATGGCTGTTGCCAGCTTTTCATCAGAGCTCATTGACGCTGCAAGTGCTGTCATTCCTTCCTTCATTGCATCGGCAAGGTGTGTCAAGGGAGTAACGGTCTTTGACTTGCCAACTGATGAGTTGAATACGACATCATTATCAGGGTAGTCCTCCTCCTCCTCAGCATCAGCTAGTACTGCACCAGCAATACCCGGACGACCGACAAAAAAACTGTTTAATATCACCCATAGTTCAGAGTCGTCTTCGCGGCCTATATTTCCGGTGTCACTTCGAGCTGATTTTCCTTGGCGGTACTCGCACTTTAATTTTTTGTATTTCGTGGAAACCTGTTTGCAAAGAGAAAATCTTAGCAGAAGAATTCAGTTTTCTTTAAAAAAAAAAAACAATACATACCTGTGTTCCGCTCAGAACAACGTTCAGCTTCTCCGACAGGCGAGTCGCGAAGTATTGCGAAGCCAAGCGCTTCTTCATGCTTGTGTCCGCTGATTCTATGCGCCTTTTCACCTCTTCGTCGTTGAACCGCATCTCGAGCAAATCCACTATCATTGCATTGCTCCAAACGAATCGTTTTTCAGCGCGGGCGCCATTCTTGGCTTTTTTCTTGCCTTTGAGAGAAGATGACGCAGCCCGTTTCGAAGGCACTGTAGCCGCTGCTCCTGTCTGCGTTGTCGGTGGCGAAAGATCTGCATCTCCAGCCGGAGAAGGTCGAGAAGGGAGTGGCGGAATGGTGGACCTCGGCGTTGCAGATGCAACAAGCACTGATGGTAGGGCTGGTAGCTGTACGATGGCGTTTTGAGGGGTCATAGATCCCCTTGGCGTAGAAGTACAGCACGATGCGAAGGCTTCCATGGTCGTTCTTGTCAGGTTGTAGAGAAGGTAGTTTTAACAATGAAGTCTCTGCGTATCGGTTCGGCTTCATCTACACTGCCTCAAAATCTTATTACTCAGAAGTTGTTCCGACCAGGCCGGTTCGTGCCAGTACTCAGTACAGTCTCACCTAGTTTGACCACAATTCGTTCTGGATTGACCCCGTCCCCTAGTACTAAACTCAGTACAGAACTACTTAGACCAGGGCCTAATCAACTGTCTCTTGTTGTGTTTCCTGATTGTTCCGAGATCCTCTATTTATGTTGAATAAACTAAAGAGCCCTGCAGATTCTGTAGGCTACGCCTAATAGAAACGTTGTCTGGTGGGCATCTTGGGCTAGTTGTTCTCAAACAGCGTTGTCTTAGATATCTGACTCAGAGCTGACGTTTTGATAATTCGAGTTACTTGTACCACAATTTTCATTTGAGGTGGGGCGTGAGCGATCAAATCCCAGGCTCAATCTGCCTTTTCCCCGGCTCAACCATGCGGGAACATTTTGAGAAGGACGCCGATACCTGGACGCGATGGTTTTTGTACCCAACGAGGGCAGCA